AGCATAGTCTCTTCACCAACTGATTTGGACGAAGCAGCTTCAGCAGAGGATGATAGAGCAGGAGCTGCCAACACCAAAGCCTTCAAAGGAGAGGCTGAACTTTTCTGAGAAATTCAAGTAAACCATTAGCACATAGAAAGTTTCAAGTAAACCATTAGCACATAGAAATGTATGTTTGTAAATAAACATAATTCAATTACATTTCTCCTCACGGTGAGAGGAGCGTCGTCATCATCATCCTCCTCCAAAATGGGAGATGCTGAAGCTAGCCGTTTGCGGCTTAAGGCACTCTTAGCTGCAGTAGCCTTGGCAGGTAGAGAAGTAGACGGACGAATAAATTGTTTAGCACGAGCAGGAGAGGAAGGATTCCTAATGAACACAGGGGTGACCAAAATAGAAGAAGTGGAAGAAGTGTTTGGCTGATCCAGTGAATGGAAAGCACGATTGGCAGCAGTTGCAAACAATCTGCGCTTCACTGATGACTAGAGTTGTTCAAAAAGGGGATGGATGATATGGCTAGAATTGAAGGGGGCTAGTGAAAATTTACTCGTCAAAAGAATGTTGCGAAAATCTATAGCTTGTGCCTCTACCTTATTAATGGTGTGAAAGCGGTCTGTCAAATTTTTTGAATAGCAAGGAGAAACAAGTCAAATTTGGCCAAGACCAAGTTGGCGAGCAAAAAATTGGGGAGCATATATTTCAACCCCAGCTTTGGCATTAGTTCGAGTTAAAATATCATGGAACAACTTCCTCCCAGTCAAAAACTGAACCCAAACGAGCAGAGAGGCACTCGCACTGTCCAGGGTGGACGGAGGTTGCACATAATCTGGAGTTAAATGAGTAGGAAAAGGAAAGAAGGAAGGAATTTAATTTAAGGTATAAAAGAATGAAAAAATGTCCCTACTGGACATATTTACAGGGCTCAATGGGTCAATGGCTAGCCCATAACAGCTAGTAGAACGAAGAGGAATGGATGGCGCACCAAGTGATGGGAAATATGCTCTCAACCACAGTTGAGTGAACCAAAGAGGCCCACTGCTAGTGGGAGATGCACCATTCTTCAATTGAAATTGAAGAGAAGTCATGCATCTATAAAAGGTAACCAAAAAGATGGAACACAAATTCAAAGGCCTACCACGCGTCAATTCATGCGCTATGGGTAAGTAGCTCATGGAAGGTTTCATACTTGGCACGCAAAAAATATATTTACAAAGCCAAATCTGAAGGAAGGCCACACGCTCAGCATGGGAAGGTTCAGATCTTGAGTGATTATAAGAGCTTTGCAGGTTTGAATAGGACTCAGTAAGTTTCTTGTCAAATTTCGGGGCAACATTGGAAATCAAAATACCAGGAAAAATGGTATCGCCCAAAGGTGGAAGATTTACTAGGGCCCCAACATCCCTTAAAGTAATAGACATGGGACCAAGAAGGAAAACAAAAGTATTATATTCAGAAAACCAAAAACTTAAAACAATAGGAAAAAGCACTGGGTCAAAAATTTGGGGTTGAAGAGTGATTTCTAATAAATCAGAAATCCTAGCACGATCAAAAATTCCCTTGGTAGGACCATGGCCCACAAGGCGAGCATGCCATCTAGGGAAAAGAACATCAGATTTAGGCCAAGTGCGAATACCTTTTTCGTGAATCGACCTCAGCGGCAAAGAGTTCAAGAACGGAGGGCCTTGAGTACAAGGGAACAGCTGGCCCACAACCACTTGTTCGACGGCTTCGGCGTTATTGAATGATGGACCCAGATAGAACTCATTGAGTTCGGCATTGGCTGGTGCAAGGAAGTTAGGATTTACATATGGCCGAGTAAGGATTTTCTGAAAATCTTCGAAACTAAAAGAGTCATCAGATTGTGTTTGTGGAGCCACCATTGGAAACAAAGTACAGTTTTGACAAGGTTTGCCTGGGAAACGTAGCAGAGAAGCAAGAAGATAAACAGTAAAATAGCGAGGAAGAAGCGCGAAATATAGACGTGGTCGAGTGGTGCATTGAAATGGCGTGTCCTTTTGGTTTATAAGGGTTTGTAATGTTGCACTTTTTCAGATTGTAGAAGGAAATAATGATTGAAATTCTTGAAAATTTCAAATATTGCTGGAAAATACAAAGTGAATATGGCAAAGATTAATAATTAGTATTAATTCTGCCATATTGGGGGGTAATAATTGACACACTAAAAGTGCAGCCCAAATCGAATATCCCAAGGAATGAAGTCCAATTAAGGAATTCCCAAATCAAATAGCCCAAAGAATGAAGCCCAATTGGACAATTCAGGATAAAGGCCCAGGGTTATTAATAAATGCAGTGGAAGCCCACAAACACAGTAACATCATCGCCCAAACTTGCAAGACGCTCAAGATCTGAGTGAATGGAGTGCCTTACAGTCGCCCAAAGCGATGACCCTGTTCTCGCCCATACCTTCGAATCGCCCAGGATCTTAGCAAACATAAAATGTTATGGTTATCCAGAAATGGAGTTATTGAAGCAGTTATTGAGTAACCTTATCACATTCCACGATTCAAGGAACCCAGTTGAAGGCAATTGAAAGACAAAGAGAAGTGGCAGCAGTTAGAGACGGCAGTTCCACGACAAGTTAGCCACCATAAAGAAAGTGGGTAGTTATAAAGCAATCAATCAGTTTCCAAGCAATTTGTCACGAAGAAATCATCAAGAGAATATAAAAGGAAGAGAAGACATAAAGAGAAAGACCCCGAATCAAACACTCTCAAACAGAGAATATGTAATTTCAATTTCTTAGTTTAAACTTAAACATTTCTTTTAGTACTCGTGTGCTTGCGCCCCTTGGAGGCATTCTGTTTAGTTTCAATTGTAAATCATCGCCAATAAAACACCCCTTTTTGGGACTTTGTCTCAAGAGGTTTATTCCTTACACAATCGTCTGATCCCTTTTTAATTGTTAGCGACTACTCGCGCGAAACAGAATCTTTTCTTGATCACAATATTATAATTTTGTAGAAGTTTTATTGTATCTTACCAAGCACACCGATTTGATTATCTTCTTTTGTCTAACCACGTAAGAAGAGAATAGAAACCAATCAGCCTTGTGTTGTAATTGTTTCCTAGCTGATGAATGGTATGGAAATGTGAAGATAATTCAGAGGCAGACTTAGGAAGAAACAGGGTAGGTTCCTGGATGGTTATGAGTGGACTTCACAGTAAGTCTTCCTTTTTAATGCCGATATAAGTTCCAGTTGGCTTATATTATTAATAAATATAACATTTTTCAATGATTGAAGCAAATTGAAGTTTAGTTAATGAATTAATTGAAGTTTAAGTAATATTATAGTTATCGCTAATAGACTACTTTGATGGTAAGCTCATGTTCGGTGGAGATTTAAATCAAATTTTGAGTAGATTTTGATAGAAGTTGATGAAATATGTAATTGAAAAATTATGAATTCCATAAAATATGTGATTTAAATTAATTGTTGACTTTTAGTTTAAATTAAAATTTTAATTTTAATGCTACTAATTAGAGGCTAAAAAGTGTTCAAGAGACGGTAATATTTATCTTTATCATCAATTTGGATAGATTTCTAAGTGCTAATGGTAGTAACCCTGCACTAACAAAGAACCTTCGTAGAAAGAGGTTCATAAAAGATTGATTGTTGGCCCACAATTGAATAGAAATGCTTACATCATCTAGCTTTTCCGTCACATGGTTGACGAACTGTTTTGGGGGCATTCCACCACATTGTGGAATTGACGAAACTACCTAGAATTAGGGTGGATGGGGTATTTATGTCCAGGGCATTGTTGTCATTTGACCATCTAACTCGAGGGCAATTATGGAAATAAAAAAATTGGGAATATGAACATTTGATATTCTTAGAAATGAATGGAGGAGGGCCAATTTCCTGAATAATTTATTTAAGATTTGATTTTTCAAAATATCGTATTTTACTTATTAAAAAAAAAAGCTCATTTTAAGTTCAATCAAGGAACATTTTTTTTCCTTTACACTTTTATTTACATTCTTTCACATGACTCCATAACATCCTTCGATTTGTCGAATGATCTTTCATGACACGGTCTTGATTGTACCACACAGGAGGAAATGTCAACCATACGTAAATGAAAATGTACCTTTAGCATTTTTCTTTCAAGTTTTATTACACAAGGACTAAATCAACTTTAGACATGATAATTTAGTAGAAATTTCTTATTTGACTGGTCCATGGATTCTAGAAAGATTAGTATGATGAATATTATTAATTGGGGGCTTGACGACATTTTTTCATTAGAATATTTTACCTATCCCTAATATTGTAAATATCAATCCAAGAAGAGTGACTTTTAAAACATTAAGGCCGAAAATAGATATAATGGGCTATTCTTTTTCGCTTTGGTAGCCTTGAATATTATATAAAGATGTAATAAAAATTAATTAGACAAGATATGATGAATGCCAATGTCAAAAAAAAAAAAAAAAAAAAAAAAAAAAAAAAAAAAAAAAAAAAAAACTAGTGAAGAAAATAAGAGGTGGATGAAGTAAATAATAGATGAATAGAGATAAATGAAATTTGATTGCTAGGTCGACTACATTAATTTATTTTTTAATATTTCACGTTCGTGGCAAAGATACAAATAAATTTTCTGATATTGCATCTGTCTGCCAAAGGAAGTTCTAAGGGACAAAGGTGTGCAACAAGAATACAAGCATAGCATATTCCGAAGGAAGCAGAGTGCAGCTATCTTTATCTCAAATCAACAATTCTGTTAAAAATCAGCAAGTCTTTCTCAGAAATTTCCCAAAAGTATTGCAACCTATGTTGGCGAATGATAAGTTTATCTTAATTGTGAAGTATCCAGCCGAAAACTTTGACTATTCCTTTCTAATTAAGAACTTCAAGCAGCCCAATTTTCTTCTTAAAGAAAGCTGCACAAGGATTATATTATATATAGGCTGCCTAGCATCATTAAAATATGTCCTCCAATTCGAATTGGCTAGCTGTAAAATTATATTTTTGATCGATAAATATAAATTATATTGATCAAAACTCATATACAAGTACACCAGACATTCCTGGGTAAACATAGATCAAGTGACGATTACAATTACTCCGGACATACTCGAGTTAACACAATGAAAAGATGTACAGACGATAAAAGCTAAGGACACCAAGCTAAGGACTCAAAATGAATTAAAACATGTGGATACAAAGTAAACACAGCTTTGTATAAATGCGTTTTAATCCGTCTTGCAATGTAATCCACTTGTGGCCTAAGATATTCAAAAATCTACCTATTCCTCGCAATCCATATATAGTCGATGGAAGTAGCAAGTGCATTTCATTTAACTTTGCTTTCCTTTCCCAAGTTGTTCCCTGGGCTTTCTTTTTAATCCATTTCAATGCACTTGGCAAGTAGACATAGTGCGTCTAAAGGCCAACCATCTACGAATTTGTCCCCAAATAGAACTACTGAATGAACTAGAGAAAAATAAGTTTTGTGCTATGTTGTTTCCTCCATTTCTCCACAAAATGAACATATTAGGTCTAATTTCAAGTGCTGAATTTTATCTTTAGTTAGTAATTTGGACTTAACACCTAATCAAAGAATGAAAGCATGCTTGGGTATGATGGATGTATTCCAAACCGTATCTGCCCATACTGCCCTTGCATCCCTTGGCCTTAAAAAATCATAGGCAGCCATAATACTGAAACTTTTTGCCTCCATCCAGTCCCACAACCAGTCTACACTAGCCTGAAATGTGCATTCAGGCCCCATGATTGGTCCCTGATTTCCAGCACTTTTTTTACTAAAGGAGAATCATTTTTTTTTTTTTTTTGGCATGTACTCCCAAATGTTCATCCACGAAGATATACTTGATTGACCCATTTTATCCAAAGGGGATCTTTTTGCTATGGATGTTCCATGGAGTTTTTGAAAGTAGCACACAATTCATCTTTTAATATCTCTAAAACCAAGTCCTCCTTCATACTTTAGTAGGCAAATTTTGCTTCAAGAAACCAATGTCTTTTTGGCTCCCCATAGGAAGTTCAGGCATAAGCTAGTGATTTTAGAGGCAATTGTAGCCGGAATGGGAAAATTGGACAATGAAAATCATTCCACACCTCGAAGAAAGGTTCTCACAAGCTTCGCAATCCCTGCATTAGATAGTGAAGCACTAGACTATACACCAACGTACGATGAGATTTTTTGGATGAAAACATCATAGGAGCTAATTTTCAATTTTTTCACCGAAAGTAGGATCCTCAATTAGCGAAATGGCATGGATGCATATCATCTTCCATGACATCTCATCCCACACACGACTCTTCTAGGGCATCCCTCCAGTCATGAATGTCAACCACTCCCCTCAAGCTTCCAGCCATGGTGATAATTGCAAGAGGCAAACCAGCACACTTCTTTACCACTTCTCTTGCTATCTCTTCCACTTTGGGTGGAAGTCGTTTCCCACAACTAAGTTTGTTCATAAATAGATTCCAAGCTTCTTCATCCGAAAGAACTTCCACTTTTAGATACCTTTGGCATTCCATTTTGCGACACACCTCTAGTGATCGACTAATTACTATCATTTTAGATCCATATAGAGGGGGAGAAATTCCAATCTTCTGTAACGAAAAAGGAGTCCAGACATCGTCCAACATGAGTACAAATCTCTTCTTTCTCTTCAGTGCCCAACCCAATTTGGCTGCCCTCTTGTGCTCGTCATCTTCATGGGAAAGATCTAGATTCAGGGCTTTTCCAATGTCATTCTGCAACTTGTGAATGTTTAAATCTTGTGAGACTACGATCCAAAATATATTACCACAAAACAAAGTTTCATTCTTGAGCTTATTATAGATACATTGTGCCAGAGTTGTTTTACCAACTCCTCCCATACCATAGACGCCAATACGGAAGACCTCATTATCCAATAAACACGTCCAAATTGTCTGGAAATTTTCTTTAAAAGTATGGCCTTTCCATTCAGCATTTACAAATTTCTCCTCTATTGTCTCGCTAATATCTAGTACAACTCCCTCAGAAAATGTGCCTTGATCAATAAGTTCTGTCACTTCCTTAATCATTTCATCAGCACGTTTCGCCAAGTTCACACGCCAAATACTACGACAATTTTGGTTCACTTCTGTTTCCAAGCTTTCGAATTCGTTTTTCTTTGATGCCACTTCGTTCAACCAATATTGGACCACACCTTTTCTCTTTTTTTGGGGATCACGTTCTTCCACTCTTAGCCTGTCAACCGTATCAGCTTCTTGACTGTTGAGGTGTTCAAGCTTCCTCTTAAGTTTTTGCATTTTTTTATCCAGGTTGTTATAATTGCTCGCTGCATTCACTGCAATGTTTGCTAGCATGTCACCCATGGTATTGCCTACAAATAAGACAGCCAAACCAAATCATGTTGTAAAATTGAAGAGGAGAAAGGAGGAGATAGAAACTCGAAAAAAATGACATAAAGAATGAGGCATGAACACGTAAAGCACAAGTGATTCTTCCACAAGCAACACCTTTTCCATGGAAAATGGAAAATGAATTTTCCACTTTTTTTTATGTTTGATAGACAATATTTTCTTGGCAATTCCAATTCCCACTTTGCCTCACACGTTTACAAATTCTTGGATTTTGGGGAAAATCAATTCCCATGGGGTTGGGTGGTTTTTCATTTTCCACCTTTTTTTTAAAATTTTTGGTAATGGAAACAAATTCTAGGAACATTGTAAAAGAGAATATTCCTTAAATTAACAATTTCCATATAAAACAAAGCCAAACAAACACCAAAATATAGATATTTTTGAATTAATTTTTTTGACAATGGTAACAAATTCTAGGAACAATTATAAAAGAATATATCTCTTAAATTGACAATTTTTGTGAAAAACAAAGTCAAACGTATACCAAAAGATACTTTTATTTCGACGTTTTCCGAGTGAAAAATTATACCTATCCAACACAATAATTAACAATTCCCAATAAAATAATTTCTAGACAATTCAATTCTTTAAAATTCGTTTTTTCCACTCAAATTCCATCTTTACAATCAAACGGATCCTTAATGAAATGAGAAATTGAATTTGATATATGATGAATTGGAATAAATCTATCACCTATTTATAGATTTTCATTCATACACCACTAATCAGGGCAAACTTACTTTCATGAAAAGATAGGATTTTTCATGAAAAGTCCTTAAAAATTCAAATGAATAAAAAAAAAAAAAAAAAAAAAAAAAAAAAAAACTAGCCCATGTGTGCGAATGGTTATGGACCATGAACTGGCATGTGTAAGTTCCAATTCATTAGTTGACCATTCAACCCTTTTTCATCAATTATATTGGGCCCAATATAATTTGAACAATTATAAGACGGGAATATTACATATTTAAGGTGGTTAAGAGATTTCAAAATTAAGAGAGTTCTTTTAAAGTTTAAAAACTAAGTTCATAACTAAATTTTATTAATTAAGTAGATAATTAAAAATTTGTATTAACTAAATATATTAAAGTCACAATACTATACAATTTATTATTACAGTTACATAATAGTTACAATCACAAATTTTATAAGTCACAAATTATCAAATTAATAAGCCACATATTATTTCACGGTCATAAATAATGAATTTTATAGGTCACAACTTATTTTACAATCACAAATTATATAATTGTTTAATCTCCATTAAAATTATAATTCATTTTTCTCTTCTTATCAACCACGTGTTCACTAATAAAATAATATTACATGTAACCTCAAAATTTTTTCTTCTTTTTTAACCAATTCTTCACTATTCCAAAATATGTTTTTACCAAATTCTCATTATACTGGTGGCCAAACAAGGGCTATCAAATTAGTTGGTTATTTCTCGATCACAAATTATCAAACTAATTAATCATAACTTAACAAATTGTGAGTTGCAATTATACATTTTTTGGATCACATATTATTTATTGATCATAAATTATTTATTTTACCGTTCACATATTATTTATTAACACAAATTAACCAATTTATTGCTCACAATATCTTAAATAATTGGTCACAATCACCACCACCTCCAAAATCCAAAACCCTAGATCCAAATCCAGTCCACCAAATCACCCAACATCTAAACTAAATCTACATCAGTCAAAACAAATTTTATGAACAACACTAGCAAACAACAGATCCAAAAACATCCTAAAAACCATCCCATTTCAGTAAAAACCATGCGAAATTGTAAGTTCCACTTGTAACAAAGCACACAAACCCCATTTCAGTAAAAGAAGAAGATAAAATTATAGCATTTAGATCTTGACTTTACACTACAGATATATAAACAATTGGTAAGAAATAGCAGGACAATAAGCACATCAAAATCTTTGTACAATAACATTAAGAAAGAATGGTGCAAGAAAAATAATTTATCTGAAAAAATCGAAAATAATAACTAATTATGCTAAAAAAACATGTATTTTTTCCTCTCAAAGTCAAAACTAACACTGGAGTTTTTACTGCAAGAAGCTGATGAGCCAAAAGAGAAGAGAAACCAACCTGCCTTCTGTTCTTGTAATTGTTCCCTAGATGATGAATGGAGTGGTGAAGCTAATTCAATTGCAGATTTACAAAGGAAAAGGCTAGGTTCCTGAATGGGTGTGAGTGGACTTCAACAGTAAGTCTTCATTTTAATGCTAATATAAGATTGAATTGGCTTATATTATTAAATATAACCTTTATTAATAATTGAGGCAAATTGATGTTTAGTTAATTAATTAACTAACGTTTAAGTAAAATTATAGTCATCGCTGATAGAGATTAAAATCAAATCTTTAGTAAATTTTGATAGAAGTTGATGAAATGTGTAGTTGAAAAATTATGAACTCCATAAAATATGTGATTTAAATTAATTATTGACTTTTAGTTAAATTAAAATTAAAGTTTTAATCCTATTAATTAAAGGCTAAAAAGTGTTCAAGAGATAGTAATATTTATCTTTATCATCAATTTGGATAGATTTCTAAGTGCTAATGGCCGATGTCAAGGTACTATGATTGTTTATCTTTTTCTTCTTTGGTTGCCAACAACAACAACAACAATTCTTCATCTTCTTCTGCTTCAACATAATTGACTCTCTCTTCATTATTTTGGCTGTCAAGCTGGGTAAATCACATTAGTTGCTTTTGAATTTTGTAAGAATTTTCATTGTATCTACTCCCAGTAAAGATGAAAATTTACACAATATTACTTGATGACATATGACCTGAATTAGAATCTTTTGCTGCTATAAAGTGATAATTGTTGCTAATATGGCTCAGTATTTCGAGAAGTTTGTAGTTGAATGGAAGTTTCACTTATTTAATACTCCTTAA